GGTGCCCGGACGAACAGTGCCGTAGCGGCACCGCCAGGTGTACTGAAGCCCCGGGCCCATCCGTGGCCATCCGTGACGTCGTTTTTGTGCGGCCACCGGGATGCAGCTAGAGGATGCAGGCGGGATCACCAACCACGGATTGAGGGCGACGATGGCCAGGACGGGGCCGGGACCAGGCCGGATTCAAGGTCGCGTGCGGTCCGAGTGGCAGTCCGGGGCGTCGCGTAGATGATCCGTGCTGCGGGCCGGGCTTCATCCGGGCTCAATCCAGGATGGTCCGTAGGCGCGGTGGCGCGGTGCTGGTCGCGGCCCGATCCGCCTCTATGATGTTTTTTTTTCACGCAAGTGGGGACGCGGATCGCCACGGATTATAAATTTTACGGTCGGCGGGGAAGATCCTGCGGCATCCCGCACGGGTAAATAATGCCGTGACAGTCCGCGCCCAAGCTGTGACTTTAGCTAAGTAATGATCCTACCTATTTTACATTGTGAAGCTAAATATTTTCCAATGAGTCGAGCTAACGGATTCGGTGTATCCCAATTTTGTGTATAACTTGAACGATGCTATTATCGATGAATCTGAGCATTCAGGGTTGAAAATATGAAATAGAATTTCTTTGACTAAAAACTTGAGACTGTTTGAAATATCTCAACATTGAGGGCATTGTAATATTGGGCACGAAGAAAAATTGTGCAATGATGAAAATCTGTGCACCATCAATTCCCACCATATCATTCATACTAATTATTATTGCCTGAATTAATTAAAAATTCTGCACAGTCTATGGCTTTTATATAATTTAAAAGATTCTACCTGTGGATCGCAAACGAGTCACATGATCAATTTACATTTACAAATGGTTGTGTAGAGCCACAATCCGCACGAGCGGAACCGAGCCGAAGATAAAATACTACGCAGAGATGCTGTGGCTGATCGCATCAATGGGTGAAGGTCTAGCAAGCGGGGAACGACGGGGCACGCAACGCACGCAGACGCACGCCCACACACACACGAACACACACAAATGCGATATGCCAGTGAAGATCCAGAGTCATGCAACAGGAGTAAATCTACACACACGCACGAAGCGACCCCACCTACACAAACAACGCACGGCACCCAACCTACGCAGTAACACCAGACGCACCCACCTACGGGCACATGCACATGCACAGGCACTACACACACCACCACATCTGTTGCTGATCCATTAAAGGGTAAGTTTATACATCATAGTGACGTAAATAAGTGCAATGAGTGTAAGTGCTGGCATGCAAATGAATTTTTGAGCAGCATAACATAAGAAATGCATATGTGAGGTAAGCTCATGGTGTTGTGGTTGCAGGCAGGACAGGTCGGCTGTCCGAGGGCACGAACTCAACGATCTTGTCACGTCCATGGTCACTCGCTTCTTCCAATCGCAGAACGCAACCAACCTGATGCGCACCGTAAGGGCAACTAATAAACTCCCAGACAGGCTGGACAACCATCCGGGTGAGCGCAGATTTTCGATGAGCTAAGTGCAGGTGCTTTGACGGCTGCTGCTCTGTTGGTTTAGCGATGTAATGAGTGTGGACGGGAGTGTTATAATCATGTATTACATGGAACGTTCAATCAGTTCGGAAAAACAATTGGATAAACGCCTATCTTTCCGTTCTGTCTTCCCGACAAAATCGTACTATGCTAGCTGAAATTATTTGACGTATAAAACGCTTTATTTCCTAACACACACTGAGGGCTATGGTTAAAATTCTGAGAATGTTATGATGGATGTAGATGAGAACTATTGATGGATAGATTCCAGCGTGATAGCTCATACGATAGGGTATATATAGGACAGCACTATGTTGTGTTAGACAAATAGAAACGCAAAACGTGATCAGGCGCATGTCTTAATTATTTTAGTGATGTCGTAGATTTGTTATTTATATTGGTATCGAGTATCACTATTCTACTACTGTGCTAGAATTGTAGTTGAGATGTTCCTGCATGGTGCGTGAACATATGAATGTAAGAGAAGGTACTTCAGCTCTGTACAGATATCTTTCAAGCAGCCAGATATACAGATATAGATAGGGCTCACAAAAAATAATGGATCGTTTCTGTAGGTGTGTGACTGGTGTGCTAAGTGCAGATAATTGGTATAGAATATGTATGCCAGGAGTAGAATAATATAGATCTATATTATCTTACTCCTGATAGTATGCACACAGAACACAAAATAATAGTCACTGATAACAGGCCCCGTAGCGCAGGGGGGTTCGGGGGGTTCGAAACGACCCGCCCCCGAGGCCGTCCCCCGCACCCCCAAGCAAAAAAATAATAATTTGAAAATTTTGCAAGAATTTCAACCTCGGGTCGGCTCCATTTCAGATGTAATAATCTGCAAATGCTCCATCGTGCGGGAGGTGACCAGTGAACACACCCCCTCCCGCACACCCTCCCCCCGCTCGGCAGTCGCCTTGGCTCTCATCGCCTGGTCGGCTTACAGCGCCGCGCGAGGAGCAGGGGCGTGTACAGGGGTCCAGGGAGTCCGGACCCCCCTTGCTCGCCAGAAAACGCATCTTGAGAGGGTCTAATTTTAAAAATTTCTGGGGGAGTGCCCCCCAGACCCCCTTTTCGCGTGCTCGCAACTTTGGGTTACGGTTAGACCCCCCCTGGTACAAATCCTGTACACGCCCCTGCCGAGCAAATTGCCAATATTGAAAAACGAACCCCCCCCAATAGAAAGCTGGCTACGGGCCTGTTATAGTGACTATTATTTTGTGTCTGTGTGCATACTATCAGGAGTAAGATAATATAGATCTATATTATCTTACTCCTGATACTATTTATACCAATATCTGCATCTAGCACACATACACACACCTACATAAACATCATTATTTTTGTGACCTATCTATATCTGATATCTCTGCTTGAAAGATATCTGTACAGAGCTGATATACCTTCTCTACATTCATATGTTCACGCACATGCAGACATCTAATACAATCTAGCAACAGTAGAATAGTGATACTCGGATACAATATAAATACAAACTACACATCACTAAAATAATTAAAGTACATGCCCTGATACGTTTTGGTTCTATTTCAACACAACATAGTGCTATCCTATATACCTTCGTATGAGCTATCACCTGTAATCTATCCATCATAGTTCTCATCTTACATCCATCATAACATTCTCCATGAATTTAACCATAGCCCTCAGTGTGTGTAGGAAATAAACGTTTTATACGTCAAATAATTTCAGCTGAATAGTACATTTTGTCGGGAGACAGAAACGGAAAGATAGGGTTTATCCAATTGTTTTTCAGAACTGATTGAACAGTTTCCATGTAATACATGATTTAACACTGCCTCACACATATACATCGCTACAACCACAAGCAGCAGGTCAAAGCACATGCACTAGCCATGAATAATGCTCACCGGATGGTGCCACCTGTCGGCAGTTTATTAGTTGCTACGGGCGATCAGGTTGTTGCGTTCTGGTTGGAAGAAGCGAGTGACCATGGACGTGACAAGATCGTTGAGTTCTGCCTCGACAGCCGACCTGTCCTGCCTGCAACCACAACACCATGACTTACCTCACATATGATTCTTATTATTGTGCAAAAATTCATTTGCATGCCAGCACTACACTCTATTGCACTTATTTACGTACTATGTGTATAAACTTACCCCTTTAATGGATCAGCACAGATGTGGTGTGTGTGTGTGCGTGTGCATGTGCATGTGCGTAGGTGGGTGCGTGCGTGTTTGCGTAGGTGGGTGCGTGCGTGTTTGTGTAGGTGGGGTGCGTGCGTGTGTGTAGATTTACCCCTTTGATGGATCATCACGGATATGCATTTGTGTGTGTGTGTGTGTGTGTGCGTGCGTGCGTGCGTGCGTGCGTGCGTGCGTGCGCGCTTGTAGACTTACCCATTTGATGGATCAGCACAGATCTCTGCGTAGTATTTTATCTTCGGCTCGGTTCCGCTCGTGCGGATTGTGGCTACACAACCATTTGTAAATGTAAATGTGATCATGTGACTCTTTGGATCCACAGGTAGAATCTACAAAATGCCCATAGTGTGAGAATATTTAATTAATTCAGGCAATAATAATAGTATGAATGATATGGACGATTGTGACAGATTTCATCATTGACAATTTTTCTCGTGCAATATTACAATGCTCAATGTTGAGATTCAAACAGTCTCAAGTTTTTAGTCAAAAAATCATTTCAATTTTCAACTGAATGTCAGATTCAATCGAAATAGCATCGTCAAGTTATACACAAAAAGTGGGATACACCGAACGTTAGCTGATGATTGGAAAATATTTGTTCACATGTAAAATAGGTAGGATCATTAAGCTAAAGTCACACTGGGGCCGGACTGTCCACGGATTACCGCGGATGGGGCAGGATCTCCCCGGACCGTAAAATTTATAATCCGTGGCGATCCGGGTGAAAAAAAACATCATAGGGCCGGATCGGGCCGGACCAGCACGGCAGCGCCACGGACCATCCTGGATTGAGCCCGGATGAAGCCGGCCCCAGCACGGAGTCACTACAGACCGCCCCGGACTGCCTCGGACCGCCACGGACCTGATCCGGCCTGGTCCGGCCCCGTCCTGGCCCATCCGTGCTCCAATCCGTGTTGGGTCCGCCTTGATCCGTAGTGATCCGTGGCCGACAAAAACGACACGGATGGCCACGGATGGGCCCGGTTCAACACGGTGCCACTACGGACTGTCCCGGACCTACCACGGACGCGCCACGGACCGTCCAGGACCACCCCGGATGGGGAAAACTTCCCGGACCGTCCCGGATCACCCCGGAAATTTTAAACAGTTTAAAACTTCCGGGGCGATATCCCGGAATACGCAGGACCATCAAGGACCACCCCGGACCGGGCCGGACCGTCCAGGACCGTCCAGGACCCAACAAGGATCTCTCCCCGGATCAGTCCGGCAGCGTCCGGCCCGGTCCGGGAGCTTGGTGTGTCTTTAGCTTTAGCAAGTCTTACAATCCTAGCAAGGCCACTGACACTTACTGGCTTGTTGTCAGGCTGGTTGTTGTCATAACCTGTAGTTAGATCTCTGATGTTCTTAATCTCATATTTACCGCAAGCCTTTGGATGCTAGAGAGAAAGTGAAAAGTCTGGGTACATCTCAAGTTAAGCTATTTTTAGATTGATAACTTTTAATTAGATTAATAATTGGTTAAACCAACACAGCAATTTGCATAAAATGATATCAACATTACACTTTCTTTTCTCTTTCCTCCAAACTGTATCGCTAACAAATGTGGCTTCAGAGCTTACAGATCCGGTTCCTTCATAATCCCTAATTCTCTGGAACATGGCATCAATGACTGTTTGGTCGTGGCAGATGTAGTACGAGTTGTTGGTGATGTGGTAACCATATCTACAAAACAAAATAACAGCTTTACAGTTATTAGCATGAAGTTTAGCTGCAGCTCTCTCCCTCATCTCTGCAATCCACCACCATCTTGATCATTATCACCATTATTGGCACCAGCAGCACTGAGAGCAGGATGGGAAAACTCAATACAAAAACTAACTACGCAAATACTTACATAATTTATATTTGCCTTACTACAAATACATCTCATATATGTTGTCTAACAGTGAATACTTACATCTTGTATATGTTGTCCAGCTGCTGGGTGATAGAGATTCCTTTATATGCCAGCTGTGTTGCCATCTCACTCATCACCACTGCAGCACTGATGCCATCCTTATCCAGAACTCGACAGCCACACATGAAGCCTGTAGATTCAAACACAGTCAAACACCCCCACACTCACGCTTACTCACCAGACCGGACTTCCTATCCCTGATAGGAAAAGACAACGGTGTTGCGCATATTCCGATATAAGAATCAATTACCATAAAATCCATGCAAGTCATCACTAGGCACAATGAGCAGTGAACGACAGAATTGAATATACCAAAACTGAGTTTGCCCTAAAACTACACATACACACTAAGATGTACAGTCGATGCAGTTTGTATACCAAAATCTGTTCACCCAGAGTTATGTTATCACACCTAATAAATACTAAGCATCACTGCAAGCACACTCAGTCAAAACTGCAGGGGTAGAAATAAACTTTTCATAAATAGAGTCCAACATACTCCATGTCCTCAATATGAGGGAGTCTGCAGTTTTTAATATAAAACTAAAAGTAGCAATAACAAATGAAACAAAAGTAGAATTGCTGAAATGACATAAATGCTTGTGTTATCTGCTGTGTCTATAACACGCTGAAAGCATCTAATGTAATGTTTTCAATGTTCTTATATAATTAGATTTTTAAAGTAGAAATTTTAGGGCATGTCACGGACATTCTGATTGACAAATCAGAGAGCCCGAGCAGTAAAACAGAAAACACTTGACTGCGGACTCATGTTAATTTCAACCCCTGTATCTGTTGGCTAGTCCATCACCTACCAATTGCCTCCTCAAATGCTAACAACACCGTTTTCCCATCTGCCCTGAGATCAAGGGCCTTGTTTGCCATCCACTTAAAACCCGAGAGTGTCGCCTGAAATCAGGGTACAAGCTAGTGATCATAGTCATTCACTAAAGCTAGACAAGAGAGAGAGAGAGAGTGCAGTGACAAGTGCAGGACAAGCACGACAACGACGTTTATGTTACCTATAGACTCTTCAAATGCCAGAAGCACAACTTTGCCCTGCTTCTGTAGCTTTACTGTCTCGTTTGCCATCCACTTGAAACCAGTGAGTGTGTCCTGCAAACCCCAACGTTCAGTTACGAACCCTTGGTGCTACATTTTCCTACCCACCCACGCACACATATGCACAGATGCATACGCATACAGACACCGACACAGACACACATGCATGATACATGTTGATGCACACACCTTAAATTCATACACATGCACACACAGGCGCACACACGCGCACACTCAAAAGTACGCATGCACACTCCAAAGTACGCGTGCACACTCAAAAAGTACGCGTGCACACTCAAAAGTACGCGTGCACATTCAAAAGTACGCACGCACTCAAAAGTACACGTGCACACACGTGCACACACACACACATACACAAACAGACATACACACACACACACACAGTCGCACGCACGCACGCACGCACGTACACACAGACACACACACACACACAAATCTTCAGCTAAATGCACACAAAACAAACTCTATGACCACGAATACAATTCTATTACATTGCAATTCAACATGCCAAAATTACCAACTGTTCAAGGAACATTACTGGGCATTACCCTATCATCATCAGAACGTGTGCATGAACAAGCTAGTTAGCACAGCGGTTAACCATTATACATTACGCGTGCAAGTATACACGTTGTTAGCACAGTAGTTAACCAATATTTAGCAGTGGGAAAGAGAGTTAAGTTAAGAGTTATTTCGCACATTCGTGACACTAAGGCACGAAGGGTCATTGTCGTATCAGGTACTACATATATGTACCCGAGGTAGTTCTAGGTTGTTTAGTATTATGTTTATATTTTTATATGAAGTATGTTTAGGGTTAGGGTACACTTCTGTAGTACAAGTCTGGTACACTTTGTGTATACATATATGTACTTTGGGTACATATATGTAGTACCTGATACGACAACGACCCCTTCAGCGACACTAAGAGGCACGAGGGAGCGAGGGGCCGATGGACATCTACATACTGCGTGGTGGAATCCCTCCTTCTTAGCTATGGATCGCAGCACCATGGTGCTCACAGTGCTGCTGATCATCCACACGTCTGATGCTGCAACACATACGCACACACAGCCACAGGCAAATATTACTTGTTAATATTTGTGTTTACGTGGCTCAGATGACCACGTAAAAAACCCACCTAGTTGGCGTAACCGTGACAGGTTGATGTTAGTAAGGGCATACAGTCGTGAAAAATCTGCTTCAATAAATTGTGCAATAAGAGCTGCTAAAAACTGGACCGAGCCAGATTTCCTGGAGTGGGTTCTACTGATGTAGATTTAAACCCTTGAGTCCAGTATAAAATAAAGTAACCGAAAAAAAAATTAAGGGAGATCAGCAGGGGGCATGTAGCAATGGTGAGGGTGGTGAAACTAACGGTGGTGGGAGTTGGTGGTGGCGGCGGCGGCGGCAGTCGTCATCGTGGTTCTGGTGGTGATGTGGGACAACTGGAGAGGAGGCAGGGGTAAGGGCATGGGTTTAAATCTTCCATGACTTCCCATGCAGTTAATTGGTAGCTGTACTATCCAAAGTGATATTCAACAATACTATCCACATACTATCCAAACCATACTATACTATCCAAAGTGATATTCCCACAAAGTGAGTACAGTTATACAACACAAGGCAGCTTCCATATCTACCAGATTATCAAAGACATGTAACGACATTGACTGTTATTTGTGTCTGTTACCTTTATCTATTATTTTTAATATTTTATACCAAAGCAACGTTAGAGGATAATTTCCTAAACGCATGTCGATGGGATGTATTAGCTTACCCGGACTGTCAGGGTACTTCTCTTTATAGCATGTCCACAGCCACCAACCGAACAATGCACCCATCTCGTTTCCACTGAACACCTTCCATGTGCCACTGGTATGCATATAAAAGATTGCAAACTATCAACACAACAGACAGTCAGATAAAAAATTATTGACAAACAATAAATTATATGTGAAGTCATGTCACCCGACTGCTACCATATCTAAACATGTGGCCAGTAAAGACCAGAATCCACTCATACTATAAACATGCCTTTCAAATTCAAAACCATCGCTATGCATCTATAATGCAATTACCATGACAACACAAACAACAACGACATCCACTGCAGTCTTAGTTTTAAGATCAGTGATGCTACTAACACGGCAGTGACGCGTGCTCACAGGTGGCAGCGCGTACCATGACTGCTTCTCTGCGATCGCGAGGCGGTCAGCATCCGGGTCGTTAGCGATGATCACCGTGCTACCGTGAGCATCTGCTGTTGCCATGGCGAGGTCAAGTGCGCTCTTGCCTTCCTCTGGATTTGGGAACTTCACCGTCGGGAATTCTGGATCCGGCTCCACCTATGGAGTATTCGAACAGCTAAGTTAGCATCGACGAGTCGCGTCTGGTACATGTCCTCCATGATGGTCACCTACAGTCAGCGCAGACTCAATAGATGAGCCCGATTGACCACCTACTGAGCAATAAGGCCATCTGGTCACCTGCAAGCATGTACATGTCTTGACAAATGTAGTGTGCACTAGGCATTACAGAAAATCCTAGCTGGAATCCTAACTAAATCTCGCTGTACGACAAATATCGTTATTAGATTATCAACAATTTGTAAAGGATTATTTCACGAGCATATAAATAATATATTTCATGCACTTAACTATAGTTCACGGGCTCTTGGTTATTTGTAATGGAAGAACCAAGTAACAGCCACCAGTAGCAGGACATCCTTCACTACTCATACCTGCTCCTTCACCGGGATCGGAGGGTTAAAGCCAAACGCCTTGTAAGCTTCCACCACATAGTTGTAGCCGACTCCATGCATGGCGGTGTAGGTGAACTTCAGCGGAGAGTTGACGTTAGTGCTTCTACACAACAGAATCACGCATAATGTCACCGGAAAAATTGCACTTTGATTCTTGCTGACCAGATTTTGCGCTTCTACTGCTGACCGGCTGATGGTGGACGGATGGACACATGAATGTTCGTGTGGATGAATGCTAGTGCAAGTCTACCGGCTAACTACTATGTTATATAAACAGCAATCAATAGCGATGCAATTAGAACATCATTGTCACTCAGCAAACATTAGCACTACTACAGCTACTGGTGATGCAGACGTGGAACTCATCAAATGTAATTTCCATGCAGCGTTAACTTAATTTATTATTTCTGGATACATTACTCACTTGTGCAATGCCAGACTGAGGATGTCCCTGTAGTAACTCTCCATGATTTGTTGTAAAGGGTCCACCCTGAGCGGACTGGTCTTTGGCAAGGTCGCATCCCACGATGAGGCAAGTGGGGTTAGATTTTCGAGGATGCACGCCTGGATGCCTTTGTCATGAGGTGAGATGATCTGAAACCGTTAAACAGAAAGAACGAATTCATAGTCAACGCATGATACAAAGATTAATTCTAATATTCTATGTAAGATTTATTTAACCATGCTGGCCAATCATACACATTGCTGCAACCTGACAACCAAACATCACACCAGTAGAAGAATGAGAATGACACCAGATGGCGTTGGTAGTCTAACCTAATATGGCTTACCTCAACCTTTTTTAACCAAACTATAACGTTGCAGAGAAACAAGATATTTTAAAATTGGCCATATGCGTTTTACTATTCGTGTTCGATTTTTTTATCCTAACCCGTTACAGAAGCCTAGTGTAGGGGAGAGCTGAAGCTAGTGTGATGGTGGTGTGTGTGAGGGGGTGTAAGCTAGCATGGCTCATAGGGTCTATGTCCCCCAGGGTACTGCCGGAACGTACCCTGGTAACTATCTAGCGGACATGGTTAGGGTTAGGGTTAGGGAGTAGGCGTAGGCGACTCCCTAGACTCGTTAGTGGAGTAGGCGAGGTACGGTCCGGCATATTAGATAGTAGTATTTAGTACCAGGGTACGTTCCGGTATACCGGACCGTACCCATGGCACGTTCCGGCAGTAACCTGGGGGACATAGACCCTATTAGCACTAGCATGAGGTGGGTGTGCACGAGGGTACCTGTGCTCCATTGTCCCAGTAAACCTTGTAGCCGTTGTCGTTCTTTGGATTGTGGGAAGCAGTGACCATGATGCCTGCATCGCAGCCTAGGTTAAGCACACTGTATGGCTGCGAGTGAAGGAGAGATAGTGATAATAAGCACATCAGCCAACAGTTGCTGCTAGGAAATATTTCAGTTAGAAAGCAAAATTCTCTAGTATATATGATCATCAAACATATGACCAGGCAAATAGCTCAGTTGTCTTTCTGACTAGTTGTAAAACTACTGCACAAAACCTATACAGTCAATGAGTATCGATACTGTGAGTGTAGGTTCAGGACATGTATGTCCTGACATGGATGGCGGGCATATATGTTTCCATTTCACAAGTTTAGCAGCCTCACCACAAACGGAGTTGGCACGATGCGAGAGAACAGGTAGACCTTCACTCCAAGATTGATGAATATAGCTGCCACTAGATTAGCCCACCTGTATGGAGGAAATGGAAAAGGGTAAGTTATTTCAGTATAGACATGTGACCTCTAGATAGCAATGCTATGAATCTATTGAAATATACACATTATTTGCACATCATATCTTATAATAATAATAATTGTAATAATAATAATCATCATAATGATAACAATAATAAAAAGATATTTAATGTTTGAGATCATTGTATGTTATTTAATGATGCAGAATTTCTATATAAAGTTCCATGCACACTTTAATACTAGTGTCATGTAACACGCTCTAGATCCGGTTGTAGTTTTAGCAGTCAGAATTCCAGCATAAGGTGATAACAGGGTTCTCCTAGCTTTTTCATTATAGCATGGGGGTGCTGCCTTTACGGTTCTAGTTGCAAATCGCCGAAGGCGGCTTGCGTGCTAGGGAGGTCCGGGGACTATGATATTTAGCATGGTGGCTATATTTAGAGTGGTGGGTGCATTTTAGGATGACGGGGCTCGACAATAGCCTGGCGGGCTGCCAGGCTATAAGTGCTCTTGGAGAACCCTGGACGTGATGCGGCCATGATACCAAGGCTCGCCGAGGATTGACACTTTGTGTCTTCCAATCACAGTCTACGCCGCCCCTTTATCTTCTAACTTTTAAGTACAATACTATTCGAGCATGGAATCCCCGATCTCAGGAACTAGGGCATTCTGCTAGGCTAGAACGGTTTCCTACGATAGAGTTTGGCACAAAAACGAAAATAACACGCCGTTTAGCGCACTACGCTACGTACTTTTGTTGCATTTTGGCATCTCCGTAATAAGAATAAGCCCCGCCTTCTTCGTTGATGGGCATGAATGGGGCGTCAACGACGTGACCCGTTACTGCGTGTAGGTGTTTCGCGAGACTGTTTGCTTTTCGTATATAATGAAATGCACGGCCGATGCATTTCGCATCGAACAAGAAAATTTTCTGCATTTTCACCCGCTGTCGGAAGTGAAAGAGTGCGTCATTCATTGAACAACTCAATAAAACACACACAATGTTCGAAGCACGTAGCTAATGTTTACGTAATACGTAAATATGGGGATTTTCAATGAAATAATGCGTTTTTATATGTAGGCCTATTTACCACGATTTACGTATAGAAACTATATGTTATTTTTACTGATTTCTCCGTATCTTTCCTTGAAGTTTTCATCGTCTTTCAATGCCTTTTGATAGGTTTTCTGCGTGATTATTATTTTGCGCAGGCACTCATTTTGGAAATCCTCCAACATTTTTACTTCTTCCTTAGTTAAGTTAGTCCATGTTTCACTGTTATTTAGGAAGGAAGGTAAAACTGTGCATTCGTATAAGTTCACTCTTACTTCTATAGTATGATTTCCATAATTTTGCTCTTCTGCCCATGATCATATTTCCATCATCATAAACCTACATTTTTCAGTTCGGACTCTTATCATATCGTTATAACCTCCTATATCATTAATTAAATCCCCTAAGTATAAATATTTGGTGCATTTTTTTATTACTTGGTTGCCTATTAATATCTCCTTCTCTATCCTTTCTTTGTTTGTGAATTTTATAACCATTGTATTTGTTTTGTTCATATTAAATTCTAATCCTTTTGATTCAGCTAATCTGGAGCATGACTGAGCGATTTTTGTTACTGTTTTATAATCTCCAATTCCTAGTATATCGTCCATATATAATCATTGTCATCTTCTAAAACTACAGACCATCCGCTGACCGCTGTGGAGACGTGTGCCGGGCCTCGAATTTGGCGCACGTCTCCACTGCGGACAGCGCTTCATACTTGAACATCCCCGCGGTCGCGTGCGCATATCCCGCGGAACTGCGCGTCTCATCCGCGCGCAGCGCTTAGGATCAACAGCAAAGCTGTGCCACGCAATCTTGTATCATGTCTCTCTGGATAATCAAGTATATCACATAGTACGTCATCAATTACACACTATCAGAGATACGCACCTCTCACTGTTGTGGCGCGCGTCGTGACCTATAACGATCCCACGCTCCTTCAGGTTGGGACAGCTACGTAGCATGTACGCCGCTTGACCCTGAAGATGAAAAAACAGGCACGAGATAATACTTCACCATATATTTATGCAACTCACTCATATCTATTAAATGTTGTAACCATGCTAACTCTATCAGCGTAAATTAATCATTATAGACGCATACAAGACGTTTAGATGCTTATGGCAAATGAAAAGCATGGCTGCGTGAGGGGAATTTAAGTTGACTAAATTCAACATACATCCCATGGAATAAAAAAAGTCGTGAAATAAGGTCATGAAAAGATGCAGTTTTGTAAGCAGTTTAAAAAAATTTATCAATGTGCTACATCATTGCACTATAGATGTTATACATATAATACAAGCAGTTATAACTACACAGATTGCAATTTTTGTTATCAGAGGAGTTACCGATCTGGCATCGGCAGATAAGTGCATGTATTTAGGTACTGGCGGAGTAACAGGTACAACGATTGCCACGTTAACACAATTACATCATTTGTTTTTCTTGTTTTTTTCGAATGTGATCTTCATATCCATTAGTTATGAGATACAAACATAACATCAAGTTAACGGGCAATACCTCAGCAAAGATAAAATTATGCAAATAATATACCTTATCGCTAACTTAACTTCAATTTCTCACGTCCAACGTCAGGCAAGTGCTTGCATTCAGCTGAGCTCCTAGAGCTATGCAGCTAGTGCACCGATAAAAACAGTATATTTTCGGTGCAAATCTCATTTTACGTCAGAACGTCAGAAAATCTTTCTAAGAAGTGTCTGCAAAGGATTGATGCAAATCCAGACCGTGTGTGCCCTACTTCACACACCGCGAGTAGGAGATCGACACACACAAGATATCTCTTTGTCTCTTTATCGACAATGCAGATATGAGAGAATGTTGGACAACAACAGTCTCCTGTTCGGGATTTTTACATGCATCCTCAATTGTGTCCTTGACATCGTATGTGATATCACAACACTAATATACCATGCTGCCTCTGCAATTCATTCTCGTCATAAGCACATTTTTGGCTTGAAATGTCTATTCAGACAAAATGGCCATATTTAGCTCAGAAAAAGTCTGACCTTACGATCAGTGAGCGTAGCTGGGACTGACAACGTCCTTGACCCTCACTAGTAAAAATACGATTACTATATGTTATTTGCATGACGTCACACCTGAATCCGAGATACAACCTGAATTCGCAGAGGTAAAAATACATCATGACACTCGTATAATAGCCAACACAATTAGACAACCTGGCCGCAACTTATGGGTGCACGACAGTATGATGTGCCAGGGTGCATCGATGTGTGCAGGGCAATAGTAAACAGAGAGGTGAATGACGATTAATCAGCAAGTCAGCTGGCCTGGGTAAAGGGCATAAACTCGACAATACTTACAAGACTCGACAAGACAAAAAACTATCTCTCGCTGACACACATTTCACTGGATCGAAATGCACTGGCCGAGCCAGGTGCGTGGTTCAATCTACGAGCATCTGTAAAGAGACCGCTGTGAACTCCAGTATCATAGAGGCACGCAGGCGCAGGCGTAGAACAAGCTCCACACGAACATTACTCTTGTAAAGAACATACACAATGGAAGAGATATAGCAGTGGCAGAGAGATATAGATACAGATAGACAGAAACACAGAGACAAAGAAACGGAAAGTGAGAAAAAGAGAGAGAGAGAGAGACAGAGGGAGAGAGAGAGAGAGAGAGAGAGAGAGAGAGAGAGAGAGAGAGAGAGAGAGAGAGAGAGAGAGAGAGAGAGAGAGAGAGAGAGAGAGAGAGAGAGAGAGAGAGAGAGAGAGAGAGAGAGAGAGAGAGAGAGAGATACAGAGACAGAGAGACAACAGAGACAGAAATATTGTAACAGAGATTCACAGAGACAGAGAGGCACATTGGAAGAGACGTAATTTATAGTGACAATAAGATATATTGGAAGAGCCACACAGTGGGAGATAGGCAGTGAAAGAAAGTCAGTGACAGACATAATAGAAGAGGGATACAGAAACAAAGAAACATACTAGGAGACATGCGACAATGAAATAGATGACACCACCTCGTTCAACGATTGGGAAACAAGTGTAGAGCCTGAACATGGCCGACACTGCCTCAACGACCAAGGTCATCGCTCCACGTGAGTCGCATCAGGTAGTGAAGCCTGACGGAGGATGGGGATGGGTGGTCATCGTGGCATCGTCAATCGTCATGATGCTAGTGACCGGCATGCAGAAGTCATACGGAATCTATATGCTGGACATCAAAGACAGACTGAAGATAGATACCACGAAAGCTTCACTGGTGCAAGGAGTAGGAATCGCCTCGGCATTCTTAGTAGGTGAGAGATAAACAACTGGAGACGAAGGGAGGGAGAGAGGGGCAGGAGAGAGGGAGAATTAGAGAGAATGAGGAGGGGCGGGGGTAGAGTGAGGAGGAAAGAAAGAGAGAAAGAGGAAGAAGGCGAGAGAAAGAGAGAGAGAAAGAGAGAGAGAAAGGAAGAGAGGGTGAGTAAGAGGAAAGGGAGAGGGGGAAGAAGGAGAGAGAAGGATAGTGGATGAAAAGAGCGAGCTCGAACAACACAACTTTCTTGGTGCTTTGAAAGCCAGAGAATTTCTGGAAAAGCACTTTCCAAATAAACTGCATGCCCCAGTCAGGTAATAGCTGTACCACACACGCCACGTACCACATGTAGAAGAGTATTATTTCTATTATCATATCATAAGATATTGGTAGCCGTTCAAGTCCTACGGACAGTAAGGGATAGTAGTACAGAAGAGGTATACGAATAGATATAGTACTGAATATAGCTTGCAACTTGATATCTGGGTATAGCATCAGTGCACTCACTTATACAGTACACAATCTATTATCCGAAATTCTGAAAACCGAAAAGCTCCGAAAACCGAGTTGTTTCGTGGAGGTCGTCTGCACACCAAAGCTTGCATTTGGCATTACTCATACATATTGTACTGTACCGGTACAGCACTTGGCCTCTTGAAAACTTGGGTCTTTGGTTTTACTACTGGCTAGTTGCAGGATATATGGTATGTATATCTGCACTTTACTACCATTCCAAAATCCAAAAAATTCCGAATTCCGAAACGTATCTTGTCCCAATAATAGATTGTGTACTGTAGTACTGTCAAACTAACATAGTTATGGATATGCCACAGTGAGTGGAGTGAATCTAATTATTGCAATTTAGAGTATTCCATTTTCCCTTGCTCCATTTAGAGCATGTCCCGTATTAAGATGTGATATATAGAATCAGGGTGCATTATCTTTAATATAAATTGATTAATGGGTAGAGAGAGCAGAGAGGCGGAGAGAAGGGAAGGGAGAGGGAAGACAGCCAGCCAGAAAGTCAGCCAGCCAGCAAGACAGATAGACAGCAAGATAGATAAACAGACACACAGACAGACAGAGTAAAAAGGGGGGAGAAAGTGTTTGTGGTGGGGGTGGTGGGAATGGGAGATAGAGAAAGGACAGAAAAGGATTTATTGTATTCTTTACTATGACGTATGATGACAGGTCCTTTCACCAGCGTGATGATAAAGAGTTTGGGTCACAGAATGATCACCATCATCGGTGGTGTGGTGGCATCTTTAGGGCTGTTCCTTGGTTACTTCAGCTATAATCTGTGGATGCTTGTCTTAGCCATAGGCATACTGAACGGTAAGTGCCCTAGTACATTGCACACATATCTCTCACATGACATCACACACACGCACGCATGCACGCACACGCACACGCAATCTCAAAACAATTACTGGAATCGGTGTCCAATCCAGTCTGCAAAATAGGCGAAATCTAAATGAGTTCCAACTCTACAAATACAGAATAGTATAGAATTACAACGTAACTGTACACCAATAGACTTAACTGTATCTCATCGTGTGTGTGGGCTGATGTGAGAGCATCAGTAAGCATCTGTATGGACGTTCTGCACTACATACTTACTCTCAGTTCACTGGCTTATATGCTGCAGCGCATCAAAATGTTTCCGATATTTAATAATGCTATGAATAAATATGATAATGCTCTGCAGAAAAGCAAGCACTGTGATTGGTTTGCTACTTCCTCTCCAATGGAGATCAAGAGCTCCACCGTGCATTTTTCTTGCACTATAACATCGTTGTGTTGCGTTACGTTGTTAACAGGCGTTGGTAACGGGATGCTGAACATCGTTGCGTTTGCCGTCGCTAACGAGTACTTCGACAAGAGAGCAGCTACGGCATGCGGCATCATTCTCGGTTTCAGCGGCATTGGCGGATTCATCGCGCCCTTCCTCAACCAATGGTTGGTGCAGGAATACAGCTACACCGGCGCCCTCCTCATCAACAGTGCCCTCATGTTTCACGCCGTCGCCTGTGCTGCCATCTACCGGCCGCTGACGCCGCCCGACGCGCAGTTTCCGGCTGAGCTGCCGATGAACGCCAGCACCAACGAGCTGCTCGAGTATCAGGAGCTGCAGGGCGCCGCGCGATCGCCAGATGCCAACTCTCGCAGCACCGCCAGCTCCACGCGGAGCGTCGCCACGACGACGACGACGAGCGGGAGCGCGGAGCGGCCGAGCAGCGCGTTCGCGTGGGAGATCTGCTGCAACGCGCGCTTCTGGGTCTACAGCATCTGCGTGATGCTGCTCGACGTCGGCTTCTTCAACGTGACCATCTACCTGCCGCTGCGCAGCGGCGAGCTCGGCCACGCCGGCGCCGAAGCCGTCGCCGTGAGCCTGTTCAGCGCGGCGGACGCCGCCGGCCGCCTCGCGTTCAGCACCGTCTGGGACACGGGCGTGTTCCGCAGCGTCTACGCGCGCCAGCTCGGCCACACGCTCGCGACGTGCGCCGCCGGCATCGTGATGGCGCTTACGTCGGTCGTCGACAGCTACACGCTGTACCTGATGTGGACGAGCCTGTTCGGATTGTTCGTCGGCATCGCGCTGTCGCCGACGATGGCCATGGTGAAGGACATTGCGCGGCCCGAGCGCTTCTCCGACGCGCTCTCGCTGATATTCCTGCTGGAGGGACCGATAACGTTCATCTCGCCGCTGTTCTTAGGTAGAGTACGATTCGAAAACCTTGTGCGTCCGCTGGAAGAACGCATTTTACCTCTGTTCCCGGGGTAGAATATATTTTCATCTACCTCTCCGATTCCTCTACCTTCTTTATCTAACCACTTCTTCTCTTCTTGTCTATTATTTATATTTATATGTAGAGATGCATAAATTCATAGAGTATCCACAAGGTTACGCTATTGGTTGGGGCCTGTACAAAGTGTGTAGAAGTGGTGTAAGAAAATTTCATTTTCTGCATAACTTCAACATGCATATGCTGCACAGAATCAGTACAGAGAAGCACCACGTATAGACGTTCAGTTGCATGTTCAGACTAATCCAGGGAGACATGTTTACTTCCAGGTGTGATCTATGAGAACAGAGATGACACAGGGTTGGTATTTCTGGTGATGGGTTTGTCGATGGTTGGCTGCAGTGTGCTGAGCACAGCTCTCCCCGTCCTCACGAAATTCTACTACCATCGCAAAGCGGCCAAGCCACACCATATAGAGAATCAAGCCGAAGAGGAGAAAGAGGAAGAAGATTGCGAAATTCCCGTAGAATCAGCCAAAGGCTTCATCTTCATGACGCACTTATGATCCTTTACATGAAATGAAAAACCATGACTTCAGGGTTAGATATTAACTTTTTTTACAAGGCAGCAACTACTTGCTGTCAGAGAAAAAAGGCAAGCGCCAAATTTATGGTGCTCATGGTAATCTTTGGTGCTTTTACTATGGTTTGTTAGGAATTTCTAGGCATTTAGAGCAGGCAGCAAACCTGTTGCTTGCTGCCCTTAATTTTGAACTCTGTACTTGTACATATATCTACACTGATAATCAGTGTAGTTAAACTCCTTGCTAGAAGTATAATTGTGTAAATGATGTATCCCTATTCAGAATTTTATATGGGCCACTGCATGGCTGTATTTGTTAGTCTTCAAATTGGATCGCTTGTCGCAGTTTAAATCTTAGTGTGATTGAATAACACTGACTTGTATAAAATGTAAATCTATTTTAACAAGCCCTTGTTAATTATATAAGGTGAGGTAATTAGAGATGTTTAGGAATGGATGAGCTTCATAACTGTATTATGTCTGTGACTATACAATTTACCTGTCCTGTTTGTATGATGGTGAGATCGTTCATCTGGGCAAAGCCAGCACCCATGTTTCCACGTATACCTGTTAATACAAAACTGCAGAATTCTCACACATGTATTAACAGCCTTCCTTGTTCAGGCTATAACTAAGTGACATTATTACTGGATTAAATACACGTATATATATATTATGTAACTAATCTGATTGTTTTTGCTGACTGATCACTGAATTAGCATTAAAATGACTATACATGTAAATGCATTTTTTTTGTCAGATATAGTCAGTTATGCCTGCCCAAAAATCATTAGCAGCATGAGTATTATTTACAACTTCATGGTAATACTTCTGAAACTTTCCAATTTGAAAATTAAACACTGTAAATTTGAAAATTTCGTGTTTAAGTCTACTTTTTCTGACCAGACATCTGTTACACATGTATATTTAGACTATAGCAACAGCCTGGAGATACATAGCTTTTGAACTGTAGGCCTACTGATCAAGAATGGTTCCAAACTCAATGAACATGTATTTTAAGGGAGTACTTTTCCACCAGGTAAACAACTCTATATTTGCAATGCTGTTATTGGACCATAGAGATTGCAATGTTCATCACTGTACTCAGCAAAAAATACATCGTGTTTTCTGACACTAGCGACAGCAAGATTAGCAGTAGTAAGCCTACCCATTAGCACTACCAGTTACAGCAGCAATGACAGCAGCACTATTAGGAGTATAAGCAACATTAGTAGGCAATAACAGTTAGAGCAGCTAAAAGTTAAGAAATATTAGAACTTTTAACCAATCCATTTAAAATATCACAGTAGAAGATAAAGATAAAATATTAAATGGAAACAGTGACAAGCATAGCAATTTCCATTGAAGAGGCATTTAAAAGTTGTTTTGGTATAAGGGTTAAGCTGGGTTTACACTATCAACTTTTTGCTGAAAAGTTGATGAGCTGATAACCTTTTGAACTCATCGACCGAAAGTCGGCAGTGTAAACGTAAAATTTAAGCGCTCAACTGGTTGAGACATTAGAACATATTCTATTTTCTCAACTACAACAATACAATCGACAACGTAAAAACTTATCATCTCGTCGACTTTTCCACAGTGTAAACCCAGCTTTAGCTGATATCTTGGTTTCCTAGCTTGAATGTGTCTACACTGGATGCAGGGTTACTGTAGGAATCACAGCAATGCGTCGACCTCACCACACCTAAGACTAGCTATAGTACTATAGCCCACGTACATTGACTGCCGCAGGGCTATAGCACATTGTCGGCTGGAAATACCAACTGCAACCTGCCACCACCTGTCCTCACGAAAAATGGATCGCAAAACGCAAAATTATCGGGCTTTTTAACACTTATCTATCTACGTGGACATCTCACCTATCTTTTTGAACACTTTACACAACTTTACACCATGTATTTATCCTTTTATTCCACAAAGTAAGCACTACTGGAAATTCCCGTTTGAATTCCCATTAATTCCCGTTTGAATTTCTGGCGTGCGAACGCGTGACGTCCCCGGTATTGTATAATATACATGAACCAAATCTGTAGGCAAAACACATGGCATGTGTATGCAATACCGGTGACGTCACGCGTACGCACGCTAGAATTTCAAACGGGAATTTCCAGTAGTGCTTACTTTGTGGAATAAAAGGATAAATACATGGTGTAAAGTTGTGTAAAGTGTTCAAAAAGATAAGTGAGATGTCCACGTAGATAGATAAGTGTTAAAAAGCCCAATAATTTTGCGTTTTGCGATCCATTTTTCGTGGGGACAGGTGGTGACAGGTTGCAGTTGGTATTTCCAGCTGACAATGTGCTATAGCCCTGCGGCAGTCAATGTACGCGGGCTATAGTACTAGAGCTAACCTAAGACATGAACTTTACTTCTACTTCTACTTTTATACTGACCAGCCCAGTCCGCAACGAATAACGTCCTGGAGAGTTTATTGCAATAATGAATAACGATATTACTAAAAACAATACCAGCAGTGCCGAATTTCATTCTGCTGGTCAACAAAACTCTCAACTTGTTGACATCCTTCGCTTTTACAAGTCCTTCAATTTCTCGCTTCGTTATCTCATTCTGGAAAATATAACAATTCATGCAAATGCATATGCATGTACACACATATCAGTCACAATTCCTGATCACACAGACAGCCTTAGCGAGTTAATGTCTAAACTATAACCAGTCAAACTAAAGTTGAGCAACAAAACATAAACATAAACATGTAAATCAAACATAAATTTATATATTGTTGGTTATGAATAAGCAAGTAAGCTTACTTTATCCCATTTCAGCCACTGTCGAATATTATCATCGAGCTCGTTGTCTCCTGTACGGGCTGTCATTTCGCACAAGGTAGGCCTATACAAGCTAAATTAACAATAACACAAATTAGTATTTACTTTCTCAGACTCATGTAAAGACGACTGCACCAGATTTGCGAAGTTGGCAACCGCACAAGCCTAACCACCTACTAAAATGTGTTTTGCCGGGTAAAAAATAGTAACGACATAAACTGGTCAAAATTTCATGATTAGCAGTACACTGGTACGGTGCACCTATAATAATTTATTTGGATTAGTCATTTAGTATTGTGTTTTATATCAACTCTTAAAATTAAATGGTTAACTCGACACTCAGAAGGTATAAAATGGTTAGGCGGATTAATACACGTGAATTATACGCTGTGATAATAGTTAAGAACTTCAACCAGTAGATGGCGTGCGGAGTTCATTTTTGTCTTGTCGATTCTATTCTATTCTAGAAATTCTAAAAATAGATATCACAGAATTGTTGTTTTGCGTACGGTCCAAAAATAGGCACTGAAATCTTACACCCAGATAAATTGCGTACGCTTACATAATATGATATGCACCCAAAAGATGTAATATCATGTACAAATTGTTATAGTCATGTTATAGTCATTGACATTGGTCAAGATTTTTTCCACGATTGGTATCTCGATTCAAATAATGAAGAAAATATGAAGTAATCCATGCATTTAATGATTTATTACAAGTTATAAATATCATCAACACAGAGCCAACATTATAAATAATGCATAAATAATGACACATTTGTCAATTTCATCATATATAACAGAATACGCACAGGTTGAGCGTGCATATAAAATTGGGACATACAATATATAAAAATATGATTTCTCCATATAAAAGCTTAAAAACAAAGCATTAAATAAAAAATTATGCCAAGCAATAGTTTTACAAGTCATGTAAACAGAGGACCAAGTATACACAACAGCTCACAGATTTAACGTGTGGCAGCACAAAAACTCTAGCGACCACTGGTGTAAAATTCAGCAACAGAGCCAGCTAGGTTACTCCCGTGGCTGGTGTAGTAACTAAACGTCAAGACACACTGCAGCAACAATGACCAACCGTAACGTTTAAAGACATTTTAGAAAGTGGAAAAACTGTTTCCAACGAGCTGTTGCACACGCACTCGATAACGCCTGGCGATGACCACAGCGACAAAAATGTATAATCTATTTAAAAGCGAAAACACATTACACTTCGTCCGTGGAATGCACTCGTTGTGTGGTCAGCGATTGTGTCATGATGGTTAACGTGGGGACCTGTCAAGCCAATCGTTCTTGTCCCAGACCTGAGTGCAAATGTTGTTTTTCGAAATTTAACAGATATTTACGCAAAATAAAATTAAACTAGATGCAGCCAATTACTCTTTATAATGCAAGTATTAATACAATTAAACTATTCTACGTCAGAAAAACTAGCCCATTACTGGCCTGGTTTATTAGCAAACGAGTTTAACTCAAGGGTTCTCCAAAACGGACCTGTGGAGGTGGCATTATATTGTGTAAAATGATTTGCGACAAAGCGAAGCACTACACAGGTAGAGCTATAGATGTCCATGTTAGTACTGTGTTACAACTATAAGTATAATACTAAAGCCCGTGTACCTGGCAGATTGAACGTTATGTTGCTTCCAGATGTTCACAACGTACTTGTACTGGTTCCTCAGGATCTCGCACCTATATATGCATGACTTGCCTTCGTCGACTCAACCTTGTGCCCAGTGGCCTGCGATTCTAAGGAGGCATCAGTTGGCACGTCGATTCCGGTTTCTGCCATACCTACCCTTCCTGATTTTCTGTACTGTAGAGATACAACAGAGACAAAAGCATATCAACTGATAGCCTAACCAAGTTGAGACACTAACATCAATACACATGGTCTTTCGATGAATGACCATATCTTGGAGCTAATCAAATGACAATTCTAAGAAATGGTCATACATTGAAAGATGTATTGACGTTAGTGTCGCAGGCTGCATGGACATGTCAAGGTGAAATTCACCAGTTCAGGGATACTCTCTGCCTGTCCGATATAATAATAATACATCTACATAGGCTATATGTGTGCGCACGTGTGCGAGTACGTGCATGCGTCATATATGATGAGGCTGAATTCAGCATATTCAATAGAGCTATATAAAAGATATTGGGAAGATCTCAACACACTCGCCGAGATAAGGGGCTCATTTTTTGAGACCCTGTGACGGCAATGTGATGTAGGTAACAGTAATCTTGGCAATATATGATGTACAAATGCAAACTGTAGTGATGAACAACCCTGATTAGGTTTTATGCAGTCAGGATTACCGCATATGTCTGATTAAATTGCATCTACTAAGAGACACTAAGCATAGAATAGCTTGATCTGAAATATTTACAAATGCATGCGCCCAATCACGAATGCACACACATATGCAAACACAAACTCATTACGAGCATCATAAACTTTTAACACTTATTACAAATTGGTATGCAATGCCAATTTGCCACACGTATATTCACTTGTCACGTCTCTGGGTTCGAGAGAACACATCTGTAACTGCCACTCAGAATATGAACAAGTTGTTGGGAAGATCCAATAGCTTCTCTCTCTGCTTCTTTAACATAATTGCATTTCTTTGGCGCCTGCTACAAAATCAAGAGCAAAATTAAACTTATAAACAAATAATTCATACAAGCAGCAGTAATATAAATACAATGTATACATTGTAAATCTGTTATGACACATCTTGAAGCAAAATTAAGTATCACAGGCAGATCACATCACTTTAGCTTTAGCTTACTCGAGCATTATTTTAATGCAACTGTTCATTTATTAACATCAGTGCACTACGAATGGTACACTCACAGCATCAGCATCGTTCCAAGCTGCTTTTATAAAGCGTATCCTTTTGCCATCAATGGTGATTCCATAGTAGCGACATAAGTCCGCTGCCATGCACTCTGTATCCAGCAGCAGCAGGCGGCGTAGCTGCTCCACAGGATATGTCAGTACTTTACTGCTGTAGGCCACTGACATTTGCTGAATTGTTAGCCTGTGAGAAAACATGACTACTTGAAACATACATAACATCAAGAGCTCATAAGAGAGGAGTATGACACCGTTTTAACAGCGTTTTGCATAGTTTTCAACTTGTAAATATTCTATCAATATAAATATTCAATCAACTTTACCTTGTTTTCGTCTAAGATTCTCATATGACACCACCAATTTACCTGAAAATCGTATGTGTTCTTCAAAAAAGTTCTTTGAATACGACACGGTTTCATACAGTTTTCCCAAACTTTTGCATCTCCGCGGCCAAACTTTGTTATCGGATTAGTGTTCTATTGTCTCTAACAGGACGCTGGGGGCTGTTGGGGATATTAGGCATCCAGCGTGCTAAAAATAAATGTGTGCTCACGGCGAGCTAGCAGCTGATTTGAGCTGTGTTGCCATCGTGTTCCTGATGATAAGGAAGCGAAACAAGTGCTGTTACTGTGCTTACCTAATATCCCCAGCATCCCGTAATTACAACCTGGTGCTGTCGCCGCTATATCAAGTTTGGCCGCGGAGATGCAAAAGTTTAGGAAAACTGTGTGAAACCGTGTCGTATTCAAAGAACTTTTTTGAAGAACACATACGATTTTCAGGTAAATTGGTGGTGTCATATGATTAAGGGAGAATCATAGACGAAAACAAGGTAAAGTTTGAACATATTTATTCACATATTGATAGAATATTTACAAGTTGAAAACTATGCAAAACGCTGTTAAAACAGTGTCACACTCTTCTCTATTATGTACTCTTGATAACATGCAGCAGTAGTGTCAGTATTGGTGTGACTATTTAAGCATGGATCAGTTTAGCATCGGCAGTTGCACTCTCAGAGATAATTTGACTCAGTAAAAATATCTACCTGTGTAGCTTTGGTACATGTCTGTGCATCGAACACATCTCTAAAAATGTCAGTTTCCTCACGAGACGAAATAAGTGAACATAGTTTCCTTCCATGTATGCTCTGTTTAGATTCAGTGCAAGCCGAACCTTGGCACATTCCCTAAAAAACAAAAATGTGATTAAAATGTTTTCCGAATAAATAACGACCGGTATATAAGAAACATATGAACATAACCTAATGAATGCAATGACATACTGTTCAATGTAACCTGGTAACATTTACGTTAGGGAAACAACAAAAGATGTCTGTGAAACATCCGTCATTGTTTTTTTGCTGTGCATGAAATCTGAATTTCCCTTAACGATAATTGCGACTACGCACCTGATATCTCGGTGACATTCATATGCATGTAGCATAGCGTCAGTGGATCCGAGGTTGAACAACAGATACAGAGCTTCGAGTTCCTGCGCTTCCTTTATGGGTGGATTGCGCATGTTGGAAAAATTTACCAGCAGCATCTTCATGCATTCCATCGCTTGTATGTTGTTCAGGTGAGGATCGAAGTTTGCAAGTGGCTCTTCACATAACCTTCACGTGGAGAGCGAAACAACATTAGAACATTCTGAGAAACCTTGGGATAGTGTAAATGGATTTCAGTGCTGATATAATCAACTAATTTCAAGAAAAATTCCAAATTTGTTATTGCTCCCATCTGGTGACATGTTGAAATAATAAGCAATACAGCTAGACACAAACAACAGACTGCTTGCCAAAACTGTTGCAATAGCTACAAATTTCTAATACTCTCATGGTAATCTAATAAATAAAATTTCTAATAACATCGTCCAGGTAATGGAAATGGAAATGAAGTCATTGGTTATTTATTTGAAAAGCACATATTGCTGCTCTAGTTTATTACAGCATTATATGTAACTCATGAGTTGTCATTGTATAATTACTAGTCATAAAATCACAAAAAAGGTGAGAACTGTAAATGTTTTTATAATTAGTTTAATATCTAGGAGAGTTTATCTACCTGTAGCTTGAGTAGAGGTAGAATCGTATACACTGCATCAGAATTTGGCAGGTGTCATCGCCTGGTAAATGCTGAATGACTATATCTTGTCTCACAGCTCGGATTCTGTCGGCGACAAAGTCATAGACGATGTTCCATGGCACGTCTTCCCTAGGAGCAATCCTGTCATTGAACCAGAATTATACTGTTTATGACATACAAACTAGATACCGGTATCGAATTACAATACACCCTGCCGAGCTGCTACTGTCCCATTGTGCATGAATCAAATTCCAGGGTAGGTATAACTTAAAATTTTCTATGACCCTTTATTATGTTAACTGAACAGGGGCGACTTCTTTTGCTCTGATGCAGTGTTGTGGTTATGAATAGTGCACTTACTTTTCTAGGAGATAGTTCATCGTCGTTGCCAGTACAGGAGCAGGTCTCAGGTCCCAAGGATCAGGAGTGGCTTTCCCAGCCGCACAGCGACTAAAAGCTTTAACTGTTTTGCTAACATCTGCTTTTGACCTATATGTGATACTGACATCAGTTAACATTGTGTTGTACATGCGCTAACATACTACAAATGGAAACAATCAAAAATTATTATGTTTTAATAATATGAACATGGTAAACAAACTTGGAATTCTTTTTGTATCAGAAATTTGTTCCGATTTTGGCACTACTGTACACTACTGGCACTGACACTCCACTGCACTGCCGGCCATTTGGAACCTACCTTTTATTCTTAACATTTTTCTGTGTGCATTCTTCTACTTCGAATTTGTGAAGTAATTTTTGATGTTCACGCCTGCAACAAGTTTAGTAATGTTTAGTAATTAAGCTACACATTAAGTACGGTATGTGTACTAATCAATGGTGTAGTAATGGTACTGTGTATACACTGTATTGTAATGCTGTAGATTGGCCTTTAGGCTCTATTACTATCAGTAATCCATCACAATTCACATCACTAAGTCTGAGTCTCGACCACTACTACGAATCCGACTACTAGGGCCGAAGGATATAAGATTAAGAGATGTCCACACTTGCACATGTCGCACATTGGCGAAAATGCATTGTGGACAGCTCTTAGTCGTATATCCTTGATGACCCACTACTACTACTAGTACTTCTATTACTATTGCTGAAGAGGTAGTTGTCGTATATGTAGTACCCGAGGTGTCGGCGAGTATGTCGCCTACGCCTACTCCCTAACCCTAACCATATCAAATAGTTACCTCGGGTACATATTATACGCCATTATACGACAACGACCCTTCGTGCATTAGGCCCTACTATTAGTATTAGTACTACTACTACTACTAGTACTACTACTAGTACTAGTAGTAGTAGTCACTAGTAGTACTAGTACTTAGTACTAGTAGTATTAGTGTGACGCATCAGCCTGTAAGTCAGCACAGGCCCTTGGAGGCTCGTTTCAAGAAGAGCTTCGCTCTTAATAGGAAGTGTCTAAACAACCGGATCCGGTTTCGGTATCGTGAAAACTAAACAACCGGCTCTCTTCTCTGATTGGCTAATTTTGTCACTATTTCATTTATTATTATTTTTGGCTAATTTTATTTTATTTTAGAATTAGGGATAGGGTTAGGGTTAGGGTTTGGGTTAGGGTTTGGGTTAGGGTTAGGGTTTGGGTCTATAGCTCTAACTTTCAAGATGGTTGCAGTGGCTCAACGTTAGAGCGTTCGCTTCTTGATAGTAAAGTACCGTGTTCGAACCCCATAAGGTGTTTTTATTTTCCTCTGCTTTCTGTATTTCTTTGAATTTTATTTGTTTCTGCATTTATTTGTTCCGTATTCATTTATCTGTTCTGTAGGTTGTAACTTTTGTTTACGTTCGGAATTAAATATATTTCTTTATGTTTTGCATTAAAAATTGCCCTATTATATATTTGTCCTGTTACGTTCGGAAACTGACCAATCAGAAAAGAGAGCCGGTTGTTTAGTTTTCAGGCCTCCGAAACCGGGTCTGGTCGTTTAGCCACTACCCTCTTAATAATAATAGTATTAAAACTATTATGCTCTTCTTGAAACTTGAGCCTCCAAGGGCCTGTGATTCTGTGAAGTCAGGCAGTACTACTGCTACTAGTACTACCAGGAGTAAGATAATATAGGATCCTATTATTATTATTATTATCCTAGGATCCTATATTACCTTCTCCTGGTACTACTACTACAGACGTACAGTACTAGGCCAGCCTACAGTCTACAGACTAGTATTAGTAGTAACAGAGTTAGTTAGTTAGTTAGTTAGTTAGTTAGTTAGTTAGTTAGTTAAGGATAATGGGTTGTGATAGGCCTATCCTAATATGCACCCATATCTTGCGATTTCATGAATCGGTCTATTCTGGCCAAAAAGAGTACAGGACACTCACTACACTAGACTTACTACATAGTAGCACTGGCAGCAAGAACCAGCAGTCCGCTGCAGCTACAGCACACACAAAGCCATTGTCTATATATATAACATGTTATATATAGACAATGCCCGTGTGTGTGCTGTAGCTGCAGCGGACTGGTTCTTGCTGCCAGTGCAGCTGAGAGGGTCTATGTCCCCCGGGGTACTGCCGGAACGTACCCTGGGTACGGTCCGGCATAGCTCTAGTACTATAGCCCGCGTTCGATTAACTGCCGCAGGGCTATAGTACATTGTCGGCTGGAAATACCAACTACGACC